CACTCTGGAGCCAGCCAGAGGTGGCTTTTGCCGGTTCTCCGAACTATTCAAAATTTCCGCTTACCAGTTCTCCGAACTACTCAAAATTTCCGCTTACCAGTTCTCCGAACTACTCAAAATTTCCACTACCAGTTCTCCAAACTACTCAAAATTTCCACTACTGGTTCTCCAAACTACTCAAAATTTCCGCTACCGGTCCTCCGAACTACTCAAAATTTCTGCTACCAGTTCTCCGAACTATTCAAAATTTCCACTACTGGTTCTCCAGAACCGGTCAGAACCTGCTAGATTTCACCCGGGATCTTCCAATATTTGAAGGGCTTCCCCAGAGACAAGGGGGTCAACCTATTCTCCAAAGTACCTGACGGCAGGAGAAGAAACAATGGGTGGAAACTAATCAAGGAGAGAAGCAACCTGGAACTAAGGAGAAATTTCCCAACACCGAGAACAATCAACCAGTGGAACTGCTTGCCACCAGACACTGTAGCTGCTTCAACACTGGAGGTTTTTAAGAAGAGACTGGACAGCCATTTATCCCAAATGGTCTGGGCTCTATACTATTAGAGAGAAGATGAGAGAAGGCCAACTCCGCTGATTGGACATGTCCAGAGAGCAGCACCTTCCGCCATTGCCAAGACAGCCTACCAACTGGAAGCCAATGGCCAATTAGGGACTTCAGGTGTCCAAATGAAGTCAGAGACACTGACATAAACGTGTAGTTTTATATCAACAAATGTATTTCTCATCTATATTCACAGCAGACAAGATAGTCAGGAACACAGGAACATCATGAGGTAAATCAAAAGGTATACAGAGCACACGAAGAAAAAGGCGGGGGGGATCCACTTTTCACCCACAGCAACCAATCACAGTGTAGATTGCCACATGCACGAGCAGACAATATCATCAGGAACACAGGAATATCGTGAGGTAAATCAAAAAGTATACACAGGGAAAAAAGGCGGGGGGAAAAGAAACTCCTCTTTTACACCCACATCAACCAGTCATAGCATAGATCACCTCATGTATAAGCAGATTTTTTAGTCAGGAACATAGAAACATCATGAGGTAAATCAAAAAGTATACACAGGGGAAAAAGGCGGGGGGGAAAGAAACTCCTCTTTTACATCCATATCAACCAATCATAGCATAGATTGCCTCATGTATAAGCAGACTAGATAGTCAGGAACATAGAAACATCATGAGGTAAATCAAAAAGTATACACAGGAAAAAAAGGTGGGAGGGGGAAGAAACTCCTCTTTTACATCCACATCAACCAATCACAGCATAGATTCCCTCATGTAAAAGCAGACTAGATAGTCAGGAACATAGAAACATCATGAGGTAAATCAAAAAGTATACACAGGAAAAAAAGGCGGGGGGGAGAAACTCCTCTTTTACACCCACATCAACCAATCATAGCATAGATTGCTTCACGCATGAGCAGACTAGATAGTCAGAAGCACAGGGACATCATGAGGTAAATCAAAAAGTAGATACAGAAGAAAAAGGCAAGGAGGAAAGGAAAACTCCCCCTTTACAGGCCACCAATCACAGCGCAGATTGCCTCATGCATGAACCAGCACTCTCCTATCAATCAACTACAACTATGTGTTGTGGCCCCATTATATACTACTCTAGCTACTAAATTAAATAGCCTAACATAAACTAACAGCCTGAGGCCAACTGGAACTTAAGAGTACATGTCAGGCATGAAATCCTCTTACCTTCGCTACCAATTCGGAACCGGAAGCACATCCGTGAAGACATCTGGGTGGGTGGGCGGAGCCTCCCACTGTGGCCACTACCGGTTTGCCTGAACCAGGGTGAACCACCAGAATACCACCTCTGGTACATGTAGTCCTCAACTTAAGACCATAATTGAGTCCAAAATCTCTGTTCCTAAGTGAGCCATTTGTTAAGTGAGTTTTGCCCCATTTTACGACCTTTCTTGCCACAGCTGTTAAGTGAATCACTGCAGTTGTAAAGTTAGTAACACGGTAGTCAAGTAAGCCTAACTTTCCCATTGACTTTGCATGTTGGAAGGTTGTAAGAGGGGATCACACATGACCCCAGGACACTGTAACTGTCATAAGCACAAGTCAGCTGCCAAGCATCTGAATTTTGATCACATGAGCATGGGGATGCTGTAATGGTTGTAAGTGTGAAATGAGTCATAAGTCACCTTTTTTTGTGATGCTGTAACTTCAAACTGTCACTCAGGGAACAGTTGCAAGTCGAGGACCTGTAGAAGATCAGCTGAGATCAGGCCACCCGCAGGCCCTCGGAGTGGGATAAAACCCCTCAGAAGCGATGTCCCCCATTCCTGGACACACCCGTTGCACCAGAGAGAGAAAAGGAGGATCAGACACAATGACTTACACTGGGAGATCAGCGACCTGCGGCGTCCCAGCTCCCGTGGAAACCTTCTGGATCCCTGGGCCAACGAGGGAGAGGAGGAGGCGTCCGTGGCGGCAGTTCTGGAGAACAGCGACAAAGGGAAGGCAGCGGATTTGAGGCTCCGGCTGAGCACGTCTCTACAAATCAAAACGGAGAGCATGGAGCCGAAAACCATGATGCCTATGGCTGCAAACTTCCATACCTTCATCTTAGACCCAGTCAGGACATTGGAAATCTGGAAGACAGTCAAAAGCAACAGGCTTAATTCCACCTGTCCTCCCCGAGGATGCCACACCGGCAAAAATCCCAGGAAGTTGCACCCAGGGTCGACTTTTTCCCCACCACCATTCGACCCTGTCGAATGCAAACTCCCCAAGAGTCTACGGTGGGAAGAGCCAGCCGCCTTCCCTGCTAGAAAACGGTGCCGCATTTGCAGAACCCCTGACTAATAAAGGACTTTTCGTTTTCCCAGTTTGTGTATCCTTTCACCCCAACTGAATGTTAGATTGCGCCTTTAGCAGCAGCACCGGCACATAAATGAATAAGTCCATTTATTTCTTGCCCTCAGCCATTGCCCTTGGCTCTCTGTGGCTCGATTGCTACGGGGTTTATCAAACTATTGAAAATAGCAATAGCAATAGCAGTTAGACTTATACACCGCTTCATAGGGCTTTCAGCCCTCTCTAAGCGGTTTACAGAGTCAGCATATCGCCCCCACANTGGTATTTGGGTGAGAGACATCTTCAAAAATCATCATCAGGTTGATATGCCGGACAGTTCGCCTTGGCGGGAAACTCCCCTCCTTGCCACATGCGCAATAATGGTGAGAACAACTCCCAATTAACAGTCCTCCTGTACAGATTATTTCCCACACCCAAATACCATGCCCCCCCTCCCCGTTTCAATGGCAGCCGAAAAGCAAGCAACAAAACAGAGGCTGACAGAGTGATATCAGAGCTAAAAATGTGTTGAGATTTATTTGTTTGAATGAAGCTTTGAAGCAGTTGCCTGAAGTTTTAATCAAACTTCAGAACTAGAAGTCAGATGTTTATATATTGCAATTCTCCAGGTTTTTTTCCTGATTTCACTTTTAGAATTTACCATAGCTAATACAGCTAAATTATTCTTTGGGAGAATAATTGCTGGCCTGCTAATATTTAGATCCAGTTACAGAGTGGAAAGTGCCATTGAAGACTTGGGTGCCACTAAATCATTCCAGACAGATGGCTACCTAGCTTCTAATGAAGGAGAGACTATGACTTTGGGGATAATCAGATTCTTTCACTACCAAACTGATGTTAGTGGTAGAAATCTTTTCCTAACATTCAGTTGGAATGCCTTCTGCCTTCCTATATTTAAATCCATTACATCAAAGTAAAAGGAAATTGATTTGTTTTGAAAGTTGAACCAAATTAAATTGTTTTTATGGAAAAGAAAAGTCTCCTCAACATGATTTTCATCTTTCAGTCTCTTGCCAAAGAACGTTGGAAGAACTAATGTAATCCAAGAGTATCCAACCGTGGCAAGTTTAAGACTTGTGGACTTCAACTCCCAGAATTCCCCAGCCAGACATGCTGGCTGGGGAATTCTGGGAGTTAAAGTCCACAGGTCTTAAACTTTCCATGGTTGGATACCTCTGATGTATTCAATCAATGGAGCCCTTAAAACAGGGAAGTTAAACTTCCGGCCTGCGGGCCGGAGGCACCAAGCGCTGCCCACCCACACCCCCGGTTTAGTGAAGTGGGGAAAAGTCATGATATGTCATGTGATGATGCAAGTTTGACATCCCCGCCTTAAAATAAAGCATTAGATTGCTCCACTGCCAGTAAATATTCAGCTTAACATTCTAGCTTAACATTTGAAATTCAAAAATAAAGGGGGACATAAATGCAATAGGGGGAAGAACATTTGCAGATCCTCCCGCACTCCATTTTTATTGCTTAGTGCCTAAGTCTACAAATTGTTGCCTATTTTCATATCAAGAGCTGTGAGTTTCAAGAAATGTGTGGGAGAAATGGGAGACTTTATCCCACTTTTAAATATTGCATTAAGCTTTCAAACTTCGCAGTGCAATTAGGGGACAAACAGCACCAGCCGTTAAGTTTACTGTTTCTCATTAAAACTATCATTTGCAAGTCGTGTGCATTTTTCATGACAGATTTCCAGTGGAAAAGATGACCTTACACTTCTGGTTTTGCATAGGGGATGCTTTAGTGTTGCAACCAATTTATATGAATTGACAAGATGAATCTGAAAACTTTTTAAAGACCAGCAAGTGATGCTTTTGGTGAACTTTCTTATAAGCAAAACCAGACAGAAACTGATTGTGACACATCATTATTATTACATTATACAGTGATGTAATTGTTAATGTTATTGCTATTATTACTATTAATATAATCACTGTCACTATTTCTGCCAAACCTTATTTATAGGCCTCTGTTACCTGTCAGAATAAAATATATATGACTATATGACAAGCAGGCATATTTACACCTCGCTCCAGCTATAACTGATGACCTTGTCTATGAGGATTAGCCAGGTGAACAAACACACCTGAGAGGAAGTTAGATATCGGTCAGGTGACTTACAGTAATGGCTCAGATTAGAAGGAATCTGTGACAAGCAGTTACTGAGAAACTGCTTGATAGATTTGATATGTTCAGTACAGAAACAGGGTGTGGGAAAAGGTAGGTGACATTGCATACCAAAACTTGTACTGTTTAGTGAGGTAGGAAAAAAATGTTTATTGATTTCAAAATCTGGATATAGAAATATTGCAAGTGGAAAGTAAGTGAGGGAACCTGTTCTGGTTAATACTATAATTATTGCTCTCTAGATTTGCCATGACACTCCTGTGTTTGTTTTTGAAAAGAAAAGTTAAGATACGGTGCATCGACCTTCAGCATAAAACATCTTAGCATATTGTGATTAAAATCGTCAACAGTTTGGGAGCAATGTGAACCAATGTTGTATGGGTGGGGTATGTAAATTTTGCAAAATATGCAAACTACACGCTTCCGTTTTTTGAATCTTGCAGCCTTGGTTTGCATTACTTAGGATTCAATCTACAGAAAAGATTGAGAGATAAAGGTCAGTACCAACCTAACTTCAAACATTACAATGGAGGAAGGGAACCAAACGGGACCATTCAAAGAGTTGATATTGCCCTTTAAAAATGCAGAGACATGACCTTGAAGGTGAATATCCTGTATTCCTGTGTCGTCATGTACAATACGGTTTTCTGGGTACTCCTGATAAAAAGGTGAAGGAAATGTTGTAGCTGTGAACCAGGGGTGGCTTCCTGCCAGTTCTAACCTCTTCTATAGAAGAGGTTCCACAAATCTACAGTGCCGTTTAGAACTGGTTCCAGCTCCTTCCCCCCGCCCGTCCACACATGATCAAGATGAAGAATGATAGGAGGAATTCTGGGAGTTGAAGTCCACAAGTCTTAAAGCTGTCAAGCTTGAACATCCCTGGGG